CAGCGTAAACACCACCAACAATGTCAGCCTAGAAATCCAACGCAGGATAACCCTTGCCAACAGGGCTACTTCGGACTGAGTAGACAATTGAGAAGCAAAGTCCTCTCTCGACGAATAGCAGAGCACATTTAAGTTCCAATCGTTGGGCATACTTTCGTCGGACAGTTTACAAAGAAACTGATGCATGCTCCTTATTAGTTCTTCGCCGCCGTGTTTGAATAGCTCGTCTGCATCCATCGGCCCTCGCTGCTTTTTGTTTTATTTAATTTTCGCTGGTAAGTCGGTTAAAAATAAAATTTTTTTGATTTCGTTTTTTACATACCATTCTCCTTGGATTCCTTTCATAATGGTTCAGATCGGCTTATTTAATCTGTTGCTATTGCCATTGTCAAATCTGTATGTGGGCATTTGTTATCTTGACATAATCATTTACGCAAATGCGTAGGGTGGGTAGGTTCGAGCTGATGTAGCGCATTCTTTGAGCTCTTTAAATTGCGAAATGCCGTCGTTTAGGTAGCTGATGTAGCTTCTATGAGGAAAATAAAAAGAGGATTTTTTTATAAATGTATTTCTGGAAAAATAAGAATACATATATTTGGACTACTATGTAATAATTGTAACATAAATATACCAATTAAAATAATAAATTTAAAATGAGCAAAGATATTTTGATTTATACTTGTATAAGTTTATTAAATTTAAGACTTCGGTCATTCCGAACCCAATTTGCATAATTTTTCTGTCAATTAAGAATACATTTTATTTATAATTCAAAATTAAAACAAGGGTTATATAACAGATCTTCACTATCTTTAATTAATTCGATTTTTTCGTCATACTCCATTTTCTAAAATATTTATATTATATTATGTATATTTGTAAACATATTTGCAAATTACGTGCCAAACGATGAAATTAAATTTTTTAAGTATATTGAAAATATTAATATCAAAATAATATACGCAAATGCAACTATGTACTACGAAAGAAAGAACACGAATGCAGAAAAACGTCGCAGCGAACTGTTACGAATAACAACACAAAGCGAGTTGCTGAACACTGGAAACTCGGCGCGATTCTCCTCTCCTCGTCGCCCCCTCGCCTATAAACCAAGAGTTGCCGCAACAAAAGTTGCTTCGTGTAATAAGGAACTTACTGTCTAGTCTACCGTCGTTGGCAAATAAAAGAATATATTGAAATTAGCGAGAACGACAACTGTCGGCCTGCAGTCGTGTAGTCGTGCAGCTGTCGAAATAGGTCTGTCCATAAGAACATATGTATTTTAATATGTAACAGATGTCGTTTGCAGTCTGTGGCGAGCATTGTGTTCAACACATCAGTGGTTTATCTTTAGAGTGGGGTTAGTTAAGAAAAATTAGTCATTTTTATGCAGGTTTTCACATTGTATCGTTGTTTTATAATATGCCTTAAGTGGGATTGTGCTTTTTGATGAGTAAATATGGGTCAAAAGGTTTCACGAAATGATTTTGAATGGGTATACACAGAAGAACCCCACGCGTCTCGTCGCAAAATAATTTTGGAAAAGTATCCTCAAATAAAAAAACTATTTGGATATGATCCAAAATTCAAATGGGTTGCCGGTAGCATGGTAATGTTACAAATCTTGGCTTTGTTTTTTGTAAAGGATTTTTCTTGGCCTTTATTATTAATAGCAGCTTATTGTTTCGGAGGTATATTAAACCATTCGCTTATGCTGGCGGTACATGAAATTTCACACAATTTGGCTTTTGGACATGGCCGTCCCATGCATAACCGCATTTTGGGATTTATATGCAACCTTCCCATTGGGTTACCGATGTCAATATCTTTTCGTAAATATCACCTGGAGCACCATAGGTAAGTTATAGCTTTAAAGATATAATTGGAATATCAGTCAACTAATAACATCAAACAATTTTAAAAAATTTATTGATTTCACTATGAAATAATATTGGAGTAAATTTTAGAGTAGCATGAGAGTTAAATGGGTATGATAAAGGAGGTGCTCCAGATCAGGAGTATATATTACATATGTATATGTATATAGTTGCCGCTGCCTTATGATTTTTAAGGTATTTGCATTTAAAGTTCAAAGAATTAAAAAATATTTAAGGCTGGAGCTTGCTTTAGAAGCTTGAAAAATTTTTTTTGATGATGTCCTTTGGAGGGAAAGTATTAATTGATTAAAACGAAAATCCTGGGATTTATGGTTATCGTTCTCACATTGTTTGAATACAAAATCGGGTCGGCTTTAGTATACCATCCCACGATTTGAGGGTTCAAAGTGGTATGGTTGGATAGAGCTGGGGCTCCAGATATTTGCATTTAAAGTTGAAAATTTTGCAAATTTTATCTTGCAATTTCTCAATTTCTAGTAATTTATTTCATATTATCCACTTTTTATGACCTTACACTGCACTACATTGCTTCTACATATGTATTTATTTTTCAGTAATTATTTGCATTTATCAAACGAATAAAAAATAGGATTATACCTCAAATACATAAATCATTGCCCCTTTTCTTGACATATCATGATTGTTGATCGGGCAGGCCGATATACAGATGCGTGCAACTAATTAACAACGACTTGTCTTTATAAATTAAATAGCAATTTCTTCAGTGACTCACACGTCTAACCGGATGCGTGCATTGCCAATGATGGCACCCTCCAATCATAAAGTAAAAATCTTAAGAATGATACATATGATACATCAAATTGAAGGAAAAATATTCTATTTTATTTTTAGAACTTAAAAATAGTAATCAAATTATTCACCGCATAAAATTTAGAAAAATAACTCGCAACATACAAAATTTGTTCCACACAACTAACCGGATTTTTTACAAAGCTAATGATTACTTATATTTCGTAGCATATAGTTTTACAGATAAAACTGGTTCTAGTCGCCTTGGTATAGAAGCGACAAGTTTTTGATAAAATTCTGGTGGTATTGAATTCCAAGCCTCCAAAATAGCCGTTTTGAGGCCAGCAACATTGGAATACTGCCTTTTTATACACTTTTCGACTGACTTCTTGCCATACGTGCCCAATAACGTTCAGATCTGAGGATTGGGCAGGTGTACCCAGTACATGAGGGTAATTGTATATAAACAAAGTATGAGCAATTACCGATTTGGGCTTCGCATCGTTGTTTTGGTAAAATATAAAATTGTCTTTAATTCCCAATGTTACACATGACTGCTTTAAATTTTCCTTTAAAATGTCGACATTTTGGAAACGATCCATAGTACTTTGCACTAAATGCAGTTTGCCCATTCCTTTAGCCGATATACATCCTCAAACCATTACTGACCCACCACCGTGCTTAAGTGTTGCCCTAGTATGTTTTGGCAAGTAAGCTTCGTTGGGACGCCGCCATACAAAACTTCGGCCATTTAATCCCTGCAAGTTAAACTTGATATCGTGTGTGAAAAGATCCTTGAAATCAAAATTATGCCATTTTCCCTCTGCCTGAACTCACCAGGCCTTTTTAAATGCAATTTCTAAGTGTGCGGCGAAGTGTTTCGACTGAAACCTTCTTTTTTTTCCCACTTTCCAATATTTTTCTTACATTTTCCACCGGCTAAAAGGGATTTTTCAACAATTTTCAGTATCAAATTTTCTTCGGCTTGTGTTAGCTAATTTCCTTGACCAGCTCTACTAATATTATTGATCCTATTTTCCTGTTCAAATTTTTTTTATAATATCAAAGACAGTTTAAATACTCCTTCTCACAATCTCCGAAATATCTTTAATGGTTTTCCCTTCTTCCCGTAACTGAATAATTAGCTTCCGAATTTCAGTACAAGTATGAGTAGGCGGGGGTGTCATATTGTCGTGTTGGTTTCTCATAGACTTACCGGTAACCACTAATAAACAAAAAAGAATATTCAGTGTTTGTTCTAATTAAATTCCACAACGATCAGAAGTACCGTGACTTGTAGAAGGTTACTTCTTATAATTTTCCGGTTAGTTGTGTAGTTGTGTGGAACGAATTTTGTATGTTGCGAGTTATTTCTCTAAATTATACGCAGTGAAAGTATTTATTACTATTTTTAAGTTTCCGAAAATAAAATAGAAGATTTTTCGGGTCGGCTTTAGTATACCATCCCACGATTTCGGAGTTAAAAGTGGTATGGATGTGGGAAGCGATGACAGGACAACACGTAGTGGACACCTATTAATACGTACGCATACTCACCTCACTTGCAAAGGGCAACAATGACCTATGACAATAGGCAGCACTGATAGGGCACAACCAACTTAACAAACAGGACAAGAGCACAGTCGTTAAACAGTCATCACACATATATTACGGTCAAACGGACGGACTTCACATATTTAGTTTGTACATGAACATTTAACATTTATGTATTTTAAATAAAAGTGTATGCTAATTATAAAGTTGAACCAAGTGCGTTTATTTGGAAGGGCTATCCTACAAATATGGTGTCAGAAGTCGGATGGTAGCCCAGCGGGCAAAAAAAAAAATTTTAAATTGACATTTTTTGTTATTTCAAATGTAAAAGTGCGCGTAAAGTTATTAGATAAATAAAAACGTTTCCGTCAATGTGTAAATTTTATCTTTATATCCAAAATATAAACGTGCGAAAAGAACTGTACTTTTGCAAAATATACATATTTACATATAAAGGCAAAAGTAACGGTGTTAAGAAACATACAGACGTATAACGGACGCCTATTAGAAAAGCCTAGAATGTAGMGGTGAATGCAGTGATTAGAAGCAGAGTAGCGGATGAGCAGCAAATTTTAAGCAGCGCACATTTTGTTTTGTACGAGATCATCAAGTCAGCAACAAGTAAGATCCAGAAGCAGCAATAAAGTAAAGCAACGTAGCAGCCAAGGGTAAGAATATAAAGAAACAGAGTATTAAGGCGAGCGTAAGGAACGCAGACGTATGCGGTGTCCGTAGCGGTAGAAGCAGAGAGGGTAGCAACAAGGCATTCGTAGCGGTGTAAAGCAGAGAAGGCAGCAGCAAAGCGTTGGTAGCGGTATAGTAGCAGAGAAGTGAACAAATACAGTAGCGGTAACCAAAAGAGGACAACTGTAAAACAATTCACAAGTACAGTTGAGGYGAATAAAGTAAGGCCATATAATTTTATATTCATATTATAATTCAATTCAATTTAATAAATTTTGTAATTCAATTTAATTTTACAAACATTATTCCAATATTATTATTCGAAATAATTTTAATAAACTTTGTAACCATTTCATTTTGTAACATATTGTAAAATTTTTTAAGAATTTGCGGAATTTTATATTTTTAATACGTATATAAAATTTAAAATTTGTAATATTTCGCTTCTTCCTTAATTTGTACTTATTGATATTGATTTTGTAATTGAATTGGTAAGAGCATTGTAAGACAATGGAMYGYGAACAGATTTTAGCATTGACTGTGGACGGACTTAGGGAAAACTTGGAAAGGTTGGGATTAGTAGCTAGTTTACGGAAAACCGTACTCCAGGACAGATTGCTGGAACACTTCGGCCTGAATGCAAGCGAGAATGAGGCCGATGACGCCGGTAGTAGACGCAGCGTGAATACACCGATTATAGAGCGATCGATGTTTACACTTCGTGATGTGGAAGATTGCATGACTCCATTTAGTGGTTCAGGACACCCTAATTTTGAACAATGGCTACAGGACTTCGAAGATAATGCGGAAGCTGTACAGTGGAATGAACTACAGAAATATATCTATGCCAAGCAATTACTGAAGGGAGCTGCAAAATTGTTCGTACGTGGTCAAGTTGGTATTTGTAGTTGGAGTTCGTTGAAATCAGCATTGAAGAGCGAGTTTGGTACCACCGTATCAGCAATTGATGTACATCGTACATTGAGGAACCGACGAAAACGACAGAACGAAGATATGCGTGAATACCTATATTATGTGATGGAAATCGGGAAACCTATAAACTTAGATGACCACAGCCTTATAGAGTATTTCGTCGATGGTATTCCGGATTCTAAAGTAAACAAATCCAATTTATACCAAGCAAGGTCYATCGGTGATCTCAAGGAGCAGATCAAAATTTACRAACGAATCAACGCTGGAAAGCCTCCATTCCAATTTGCAAATCCGTTCAAATCATCGTCGTCAAACAGAGTAACAGCGAATTTCAATCCCGGAGATAGGAAGTGTTTTAGWTGCGGAGAAAGTKCACAYATGGCTAGAGATTGTCCACAGGGCAGATTCACCTGCTACAGTTGCGGAAGAGAAGGACATAAAGCATCCGAATGTAAAACTTCCGTCAAAGTCAACAAGCCAGAAAGGRGTGCGAAAGGGAGTATGAATACAATGAGGAGATAAGCAGGAACAGCAAGAAACCAAGCTAAACAGCCACTCAGAACTCCTGAGTTGTGCCGGTTTCAACGTCATACGTAAAGATCGCGAGCGAGATAATGGTGGTGGCCTAGCCTTCATATTGCACAACACCGTGCAGTATAGTCTAATCGATGAAGACATCGACCGCAGGGATACTACCCTAGAATGTCAGGGCATAGCTATCCGGTCACGCGATGCCGAGCTCGAAATATTTAATATATACATCCCCCCAGTTACATGTTGCCCTACAGGATATCACCCGAATATAGGTGCGCTACTTCGTGGTGAAAACCGTTT